GGTTAGTGTCCGCATTTTAAGAGTTGGCCTCATTTTAAGAGTTGGCCTCATTTGATCCGCCCCCTATATATATATATATATATGTTATATACTCATGTTGAAGCTTGGTGTTCTTTCTTCAGTTGGCCCTGGGCCGTTGCCCAGCTCGCCCTGCAGGGCCGAGCCTGCATACATAATTAAACTGCAAACATACACTTGAATTATACATTATCTTTATTCAAAATGGTATTGTAAAAATTGAAAGTCAAGCTCTTACAACATACTCTAACAAGCAATCCGTGATCAACATCCTCTATTAATTCAAAATGGTATTGTAAAAATTGAAAGTCAAGCTCTTACAACATACTCTAACAAGCAATCCGTGATCAACATCCTCTATTAATTCATAGACTACATGGTGATTCATGTTGAATGATCTCCACAAGCATAAGTAGAAGACGCCAATTACTGATGTCGTCCCATGCAATTTCTTCTATTAATCAAATGTTGTTCATGCACGACCTGACTATTCTAGGCCGTCCACCAAGGATCTGACCTTCACAAATGTTGTTCGTGTGCGACCCGACCACCTTCAGAGCGAGCTGCTCTCAAGCGAATAAACTACACCCTCAAGGTTTTCCACACGCGACCCGACTATTCTAGGCTGCCCACCAAGGACCCCACCTTCACAAATGTTGTCCACTTGTGACCCGACCACCTTCACAATGAGTTGCCCACAAGTGGCCAAGCTCCCTTCTCATGCGCGACCTGGTATTCCAGGCTGTCTAATAAGGACCTGACCTTTACAAACGGTGTCCATGTGCGACCCGACCACCTACAAAGTAAACTACCCTCAAGTGGCCAAACTTTACCCCCGACCACCTACAAAGTAAACTACCCTCAAGGCTGTCCCGCACGTGACCCGACCACTTTCACAATGAGCTGCCAACAAGCGGTCAAGCTCCCTCCTTAGGCTATCCACCAAACGAACAAGCTTTACTCTCAAGGTTGTCCACACGAGACCTGGCTATTCTAGGGTGTACACCAAGGACCAGACCATAAAAAATAATTGCAGGCTGTTCGCTAAGGATCCAGCCTCAAAAAATAATTTCAGGATGGCCACCATGGATAAGACCTTCAAAAATAATTTCAGGTTGTCCGTCGAAGAACCAGCCTCCAAAAATAATTTCAGTCTGTCCACCATGGACCTTAAAAAATGATGTATGTATGTTCACAAAAAACCTGGCCTCTCAAATATCAATTTTAGGTTGCATGTGTGAAGCTCAGCCATTAAAAACGATACTTCGCAAGATATCATGTCGATCGTCCCTAAGTAGCGATGCGTCCCAACAAACAAAATTTTTATCCCTTACTAAATTATCGATTGGTGATCTTATAATCAAACATGCATCAACCCATTGCATAATAGCAGAAGTAAAAAATGAAGTACTTATATAAAACATTCATGTGTCTTTATGCCTTCACAAGACTAATAAATAAAACAAAAGTAAAGGGCTTTATTGCAGCCTAACACACGTTGTCTTTAAACTATTACAAAATCAGTGACCGTCAATATCCTTTCCGCTGCTTGACACAGCTCCACGACCGGTCACTCTCCTCCCTCAACAATTTGCATTCCCTGACGATGTTCGTTGCTTCATACATTTTTGAATCGACTGGCCCGTCTGCATCACCTTGCAGTTCTGGCTTGTCTTGGCGATCTCCTTCCTAATATCCAAAGGTTCAGGACGACCGCTCTCCGATGGATCGCAAGGGGTGTCTTCTTGTACTTCTATGCGATCTCACTCGAACGATGATTGATGATCACCAACGGTCATTCCTTCAACTAGCGTTGGCTCTTCTTGCACCGGCTCGTCATCCGTCGTGATCACAACTGTAAAGGGAGATGTATCTGACCGACCCCTACTCAAAGACCTTCCCATGGGTCGCTTTGATTTACTTGTCTATCCCTTCGGTGATCCAACAGATGGGCGCCTCAAACCTCTTTTTGGAGATCGTGTCCTTGGTGGAGAACCCACTTCGACCTCCATGGGAATCCGGCACATCGTCCACTATCGGCGACTTCAACCTTACCCGAAGATCCTCTACTTTTAGTTCTTAACAGTCCAGCTTATCAAGTTTCCTTTTCGCCTTCATGTTCGCCCCGCTTCGCCCTTTTTCGGATAAAAAACTACATATCAACAAACAACAAGGCCGTTAGATAGGGACGAATCTTTACATAAATGATCATTGTTTTTTATATCAAAAGGATATTACATGGCTCAACTAGAGTTTCATCTCGTAACTAAGATGAAGGCCTGCCTCGGCCAACTTGACATTTTCACACCAGGCGACAAAATATCCAAGATCTCCTTCAATTTGTCGGCAAACTCCGCACTCATGGGAGGACCATTTTTGTCGTCCGCTCTACCAAGATAACAATATTACTAAGACGAGTCGATCACAAAATAATAATAATAACAATAATAAATAAATCCACATGATTGGCACAAAAAATAGTACATAAGTGAAAAATACTTGCACGTTTTTTCTACAAAGTACGTCGGCGTCCCGTATTTCTGGCCTGATTGATTGCGACTTTGCCACTCTCCAACAACCTAGAACCACCTCGACTTCCACCAGTGCCGCATTTATGGATATTCTTCACTTGATGAGCGTATTTTCCTTCCTTGAATGGAGGTGGAGGTATCTCGATCTCTCCGTAGCGGTCCTTCACATATACAAAGAGACCAGCTCCTCTCTAGTTGGAGTCGACCACCCTTTTGTGGCAAACATTACCACCAACGAACACAATCGGTAAATAACATTTGGGTATACCTGAACAATGGAGATACCCCATTCCTTCAAGTACTGAGCGATCACCGCAGGTGGTGGAAATCTCAAATCCCGACAATATCGCATCCTTGTGCACCACGGCGCTCCCTTCCGGGGGGGCAGTGGGCCCGCTCGCCTTCATATGGGACGAACATCTTCGCAACTCCTGGAATTCCATACTTCTCATGAATCGTCATCAGTTCAGAATCCCCCATATCGCCCTCTGTCGATGGCATTCGTATCGGTGAACGACACCGCAACCCTCCGGCATATTATGATCTTCAAGACCTCTCGTTTCGTGACCGCTCGGAAATGGCAAGATTATCGAAAAAAGAAGGAAAGTGAAGTTGTGTCATTCATTTATAGTAAAACCTCTTATCCATATTGTTCACAGATACAAAGTTGCATTATTTTTCTGTTGAGAGTTGCCTTATAGTGTTTAACAAACACACTCTTAGCATATTTGTACTCGACAATATACATGGTGACGCTAGTTTTACATGACACAATCACACAACAATATACTCTTCCCGATTATTTCACAAAACATTATACATGAATCCATCATAAACAGCCGACGACAATCTTGGCGTGAGCACGACTTCAAGCGGAGTAGCTTTCACATTCGTCGAACCCAAACTCCCCTTCATATCAACAGCCTCACGAGAAGTCGTGTCAATATCAAAAGAATGCAATAAACTCGCAAGCGCAAGCACCATAAATTGAAGCGAAAAAGCAATCCCGGGGCAAATCCTCCGGCCACCCCCAAATGGGAGCAACTCAAAGTGTTGTCCTCGAACATCAATCTCTTTGTGGTCCGATAGGAACCTCTCGGGCTGGAACTGCAGTGGGTTAGCCCAAACACGAGGATCTCGGTGAAGTTTCCACGCATTGAGGATGAGTCGTGTGCCAGCTGGGATGTAGTATCCCGCCACGTGGCAGTCCTCTGCTGACTCGTGGGGCAGGAGTAGTGCGAATGGCGGGTAGAGACGTAGGGTTTCTTTGATTACGGCTCGGATGTAGACGAGGCTTTCGGTGTCTGATGCTTTTACGAGTCTTTCTCGGCCAACATGAAGGTCTAGTTCTTGTTGGGCTTCCTGAATGGTGTGACGGTTATTGAGCAGTAGAGAAAGGGCCCATGTGAGGGTTACTGTCATCGTATCTGTTCCTCCTAACAACATCGCCTGCAAAAGAAGATTTTATTTTACGCCCACAATTATATACATTGTCGTGCTACATGACTTTTTTCTTTTTATTACATTTTTATTCCAAAATACCATTAGTTTAAGCCAAATTATTAGTTTCTTTTGTGAGTTAAACCTTTATCCCAAACATCAACTGCACAACATTATTCAATGTATAAATTGCAATAGAATCTGCATGATACAAAAACGAATTCGACGAAAACGTTGTAGGCATCCATGACCCGAAACAGGACACCCTTTTCCCTTGTCTCACCACACTAACCAACCAAACGACAACAAACACAAAAATCACAAAATCTTACTATACTCGTTCTCTCGTTTAACACATGACTCTAGCAACGACAACAAATAAGAAAACCACAAAATCACACTATACTTATTCTTTTGATAACACAACTCTAGCAACAACAACAAACAAACAAGAAAACCACAATATCACACTTTACTTATTCTCTCGCTAACACATATCACTAGCAATGACAACAAACAAGAAAACCACACTACGCTTATTCTCTTGATAACACACAACTCTAGCAACAACAACAAACAAGAAAACCACAAAATCACACCATACTTATTCTCTTGACAACACATAACTCTAAGCAAAAATGTACCTGGCAAGTTGCTTTAGTTATTGTATTCGCACTGTACTTGGGGAATTGCCGTGCCACCTCATCCGCAACAGCTATCATCTCGGCCATGAAACTACCGTCAGTCGTCCCACGTCTCTTCTGGTCATCCAACCAAGCTTGCATCAAACAATCCATGTCGTGCCCTGTCTTCTTAAACGACTCGTTCGTTCCACAAAACCAATCCAGCCACTTGAGGGACGGGACCACATCAGGTACCGTGACCTCGTCCATTTTCCGAAAAAACTCTCTAATCAACTCTCTCAGCTTCTCCCCTTTTGCCACATCAATCTTCTCATCATCCTTATTACTGTTCAAAATAATCCTCAGCATGAGGCCTATGGTCATATCCCCAATAATCTGCTTCATTTCAAAACACCCTTTTTGTCCTCGCAGTAGTCTGACCATCCTCGCTATCTCCGTCTCGAATAGGTGCCCAAAGGTGGAAACTTTAACGCCGGAGAGTAGTTTGACGGCGGAGATCTTCCGCATCTCGCGCCAATAGGGCCCGTATTGGCTGAATCCGAGGATGGCGAAGTTGTAGCCCATGTGCTCGATGGCGGCTGTCCTGGGGCGGTTGGAGAAAACGACATCGTTTGTGCTGAAGCACTCTTTGGCGGCCTCCCAGCTGCTGACGACCAGGGCCCGGTAGACGCCGAGACGAATCGTGAAGACCGGTCCGTACTTGTCCGCCATGGCCGAGAGGACGATGTGGGGAAGCTCGGGCCCCGAGAGGAGGCGCAGGTGGCCGATTACGGGCCATCCGCCGGCGGCTTCTGGGGGCGAGAGGCTATTGGTGGCGTTCTTGTGGTTTTTTTCGCCGGGAATCAGAAGGGCGGCGAGGGTGACGGCGGCGGCTGCTGCGAGCAGCCACATGAGGAGGGTTGCTATGTCCATGGCGGGAAAAATATCAGTGGACACCTGTTAAAGCCTGTGTTTTTTCATGAAATTTAGTGTTGGGGAGTTGGTGGTGGTAATATATGGCCACGGTTCTGGTTCACAATCATCCTCGCTACCCTCGTGGGAAATTCTATGGCTTGATTTTTGTTACTGTATCACGATAAGTATTTGCGTTCATCATGACCCACTAGTACAACTACTCGTGCTTGCTAGTTTTTTCCTTAAAATTTAAAATTAATGAAAAAAAAGTAGTTGAAAATTTAAATATTTTTTATTATAATATATGTATTATTATATATTTAGTACGACACATTTTATTTGTGTGACTTACTTGTGTTATATTATAATAATTTTTTTAACTTACAACATATAACTACATTAAACATGAATATATCAACTGAAAAATAATTTTATTTTTCTAATAAATCTTAATAAATATTATTATTTTTTATTATTATAAAGATAAATATAATTTATTTATTTTATATATACAATATGTATGTCAAATCGAAGATCATGAAAAGATGATTAATTTGATAT